ATAACAACCAAAAGAAGCTTGATACACTAATATCTTCCCTAAAAGTAGGTAACTTGAAAAGCAATTTGAGCAAAAATCAGAGTTCAGTTATAAATAAGTACATTCAGAAAGTGAAAGATGGGCTTAATTTTTCCAGGAAAGTTAAGAGAAATAACAACAACTTCAGGGGAACAAAAAAAAAAATCATTAAGAAGAAAATTATATGCAATTGTAAAATGTATGCATATTTACAAACTCTAACATAAGTAATCACAAAAAGGACCAGAAGAATCATTATCATAGGAAGCAAAGGGTCATTTCAAAAACATGGGGAAGCATGATTCCTATTTAATTTAATTCCATTGAAAATATTTCAGTAAAGTTTCAGGACAAAAATAGATGATGTGTTGAAATGTGAGAAACCACAGTGGAAGGAAAAAGAATTCAAGAAAACTCAGTTTTAATAAACAATATATAGTACAAAACTCAGGGCCTAGTGGCTACAATCTGCATTAATAGTGTCTAAAGACCTAGAAATGTCATTAGATACCATTTTGGATGATTCTTGTAGACTTGAGATGATGTCTATCTAAAGTCACAAAACAGTTCCTGCACTTACCAACAAACACACTCAAAAACATATATCTATGACTTTAAAAATGGAAGAATTTTGAACTTTCTAAATAGGGAAATATTGGGAAGCACTGTTATGAAAACAGGTTTTAAAAAATTTTGATTGGAGGCAATATTGAAGTAAATTAGAAAAAATCCTATCCTCCCATGACACTGGAAAGTCTGAGAGAGCAAAGAGACACAAATTAGTGTCATTTGAATTAATCAGGAGTTTGATTCTGTGAAACGAGCTGAGACTTTATTTTTTACTTCAGAGTAAACTAATTAATACCTCCATTCATTCAATACTCATTTAATACCTGAGCCCTTAGCAAACATGCTGCACCCTGTGTGTAAGTGCTGGGATATTGCTTGGGCCAACATAAACAAGCTTCTTAGTCTTGTGAAATTTATCTTCCAGTAAGGGAGTTAACATCTACCTCTGCAAATTCAAGGGTCCACACATGGCCAAAATCATGTCGGGGTACACAGAACCCCTCCTCTGATCTTCAGACAAATGCACCCTACCTTCTGGCCCTCTACCAGCAACTGGAGACCCTGGAAATTTCCAGACACACAACAGTGTTCTAAACCGCAGGCTGCTGCCCCATCCTATGACAGAGTAGACCTCTTCTCCACCAGACTTGGCCTGTTATCCAGTTGAATGAAATATCCTTTTAACATAGAAACAGGGTACAGAAACTAGTTTTTTTTTGGCCCTGATCCCATCACATGGTTCGTAGGTACACACCAGTACTGATCAAATACACCAGAATTGAGGCCTCAGGCCCTGGAGTGTGCACATCAGCTCTGCTTTCAGAAAACATCAAGGTACTTTTGGCAAGTCTGCGGACTTTATGCAAGAAAAAAAAAAAAGTGATTAACACACACACACACCCCATAGTGACTAACAGAATCTCCCTCCAGGGCATTTGCAGAGAGGGGAGCAGAAAATATCCCAGGGGCCTTTCACAGCTAGTTCCGTGAGCCCCTTTTCAGACCATGCTCTCTAGACCTCTCTCAGCCCAAGCACCACCACCCTGATATGCAGGAGCTAGCTTCCTTACCTGAAATTCAACGTCAAGAAACAATCTCTTCTACTTAAAACTGATAGGACTATCCTCAAGCAATGTCCTCATTGGCAAGGGTGCAGTTAGGGAGTTTCATAAAAACTGAGGCCTCTGCCTACCACCTAGAGAACCTGGAAATTTCCACCTATGCCACAAAGTCCAAATCACTGGCCACTGCCCCAGTGTATGGCAGTCTATGGCAGATTACACCATCTCTCCATCTCATACCATGAAAAGGACACAACTGGTCTTTACATGACTCCTAATAAGAAAACATCACCACCTGGGAAAAAGATTTACTGAAAAATCATAGTCAAAATTAAATCCTATCCAACTGCTGTATGTTCTGTCCATCAGGTAATTAGAACCACATGGATATTTAAATATATCTTAATTAAGATTAAAGAAAATTTAAAATTTAGTTCTTCAGTCTCACTCACCACATTTAAAGTGCTCAGTTGCCACAAATAGCCAGAACCCACAACTCGGATATACATTCCGTTCATCACAGAATTTCTATCAGTATTGCTTCATACCCATTCACAGGAATTACAGGAGGGCCTGAGAAATTGCAGAGGGATGCAAAGCAATCCACGAAATCCAGAAGACAAAAAAACTCTACAGACCAACGACGTCGTTTCTTAAATAAAATGTCACCAAAAAAAGAAATGGGAAGGAAGATTGTTGACTAAAAATTTTAATAGATAGACTATAAAACAGTAATGAAAATCAGGTAAAAGTAAACTACGATGTTTATGGAAGCAAGGAGGAGGAAACCAGGAAGAAAAGGAAAGAGTCACCACAAGAGGCTTAACCACACCTCCTTCTATAGGGAGGAAGAAGACTGGGGCTGGTGTCACAATCAAGCAGCAAAGCTTGATTTCTCAGCCTCAGTGCTGAGTACAGGGGTATTCACCTTCTGCCAACCCACTAAGTTAAACAATTGTTTTTATGTGGTTTTCTATATCTGTATTGAATTTCACCATAAAAAAAGGTTAAATAAAATCTGATGAAGAGCATTAAGTGCTACCTGGAAAATTACAATAGGCAGGATGAGAGCAATTGGGCCCCTGTGAGAAGTGACATCTCAGCCAAACTGAATTGACAAAAAAGAAGGCAGCCTTTGGAAGATCAGAATATTCCAGAAGAGAATATAGAGAAAGGGGCTAGTGTGACGGCTCACTCCTGTAATCACAGCACTTTTGGGAAGGCAAGGCAGGAAGATCACTCTAGCCCAGAGTTTGAGACTAGCTCAACATGGTGAAACATTGTCTCTACAAAAAATGCAAAAAGCATCCAGGCCTGGTGGCTCGTGCCTATAGTCCCAGCTACTCTGACGGCTGAGGTGGGAAGATCCCTTGAGCCCAGGAGGTCAAGGCTGCATTGGGCCATACACTCGTGCCACTGAACTCCAGCCTGGATTGCAGAGCAAGACCTTGTCTCAAAAAAAGAAGAGAGAGAGAAAAAGAGAAAAGGCCTACGAGGAGGATAAGCTGTGTGGAGCTTGAGTACTGAATGAATTCCAGTGTGACTACAAAGTGGTGAGCTGCAGGAAGAACATTTACAGGTATCACAGATTTCTGTATGCTTTCAAATGGCAGAATCTATAAATGTTAACTCAGAGATGCTACATATATCCTAGTGATAAGACACAAAATACATCAGATGTATAGAAATTTACGTGTGATGCTTCAAAATAAAGATTTGCACTACTGTTCACACTGAAAGCTGAACCTGTCCTCCAAGGGCTGTGCACATGGTCTAACTAAACTCAGAACGTGTTATTGCTTAGGATGCATGAAGTGCCCATTACAGTATCTGGGAGGATGGCCTGTCATCCTATAAAAATAAGAAGCCAACAACAGGTAAGCAATATGGACGTCAGATAATCTTATTCTAGAACAATTCTCTAATAAATCAAACCTACCACCCAGCCTTACCTCCTCAACATCCCAGTCATGGGGCGCCTCCACAAGAAATCTGGAGCAGTCCAGAGTCGGCTTTGTGCTCACACTCTGTCAGGCTGGCTGACACCAAACAACCCTCCAAGCTCTTCTCAGTTATCTTCATTATCTTCTGTCACTAAAGAGAACACCATGGCTGAAAAGTGAGAACAAAAACTACAGCCCTAGAGGACTCAATGTTTTCAACCACTTAGGCCATGAGTCTTCAAACTCAGGAACTGAGGACCTCTGTCTGTGGTGGGTATGGCGATGGCCACGTATGAGTCAGGCACTGAGAGGGCAGGTCAGCCACAGGTGAAGAGAGGCCAGGAAGCTATTGCTCTACATGTGTGGGGGCTCCTGCGCTCCCACACGGCAGCAGCTAAGTGGGTGAGGAAGAGTTAGACTATTAGGGGTCGAAGACGGAAGGGACATTTAAAGTCAGAGCTTTGGATTACTGAAGAAGATATCTAAAAAGCGTTGAGCCTTTCGTCACTGAGAGTACCTAGACAAAACCTGGATGAAAATCAGTACACAACAACCCTCCCAGTTCAGTGTGCCGAGCCCAACTGTCTCACCACGTGGCCTTGATCTCATCATGCAGTAACCAGGAAGCACAATATAAAGTTCACCACTGTATATTTATGTGTGCATTAATTCTACCACAAAGAACGTATAGGTAAGTTTAATAAAGCATAAAATCAGAGGACAAGGGCAAAATGGAGAACGCGATGTGTTATACGGGGTTCTCATTCTCAAAATAGAACAAATAAATAATTTTATGGGCAGAAATATTTTTCTGGTACTAAATTCTACAAAAAATTTCTCATGAAGGACTTTTAAAAAGGGGGCATAACATGATGCAATGGACAGTACTTGCTTCGAGTTTTACAGCAAACCCATAAGTGTTCACAAGACCAATGTGTGGTCCTCGGAAGCTGATGATTAAAGACATCTGCCAAATAGGAAATGTGATGGCTAGCAATGATGGATGTCAACAATATCAGCCCAATCCTCCAACCAATTCCCTCATCTCCTTTTCAGAAAATAATCAGAGAAACTAAAATGTTACCAGCTCTGAAACAGAATTCTTTACCTGTTCCATAAATAAGCTTTCGGAGGTTTGGAGCTCCTGCTGCTGCTGCTGCTGCCTCAGAAAGGCCTCAGCTGCCTTTCCATTTGAGAGAACCTGAAACGACCAATGCCAACCTCCAGTTAGAGTTGTTTACGTGTCTCCCCTCCCCCGAGATCCAACCAAAATGCAGCATTTCAACAGTCAACAAAATCTCAAAATCAACAGACCCCCAAATGTACACATTCCATTGGGTACCATTTCGAGAGTCAAGTTCATAGCAGCAACCAACTAAATTTAAGCTTACCTGAGGCTTCTCTGGAATCATTCTGCTCTTCATTGAAATCTTCTTCCTCTTTGACTAAATCTTCTATATAGCTGGTCTCATCAATTAAGTTTTTTGAACCCAGTTTCTGACCACTGCCCACCTAAGAAGGCTTTGAAAGCTTTTTCATAAAAGCGTCTTCATTTTCTGAGTCCTCTTCTTCTGCACTGAGTGAGGAGCTTTCTTCAGATTCGTCTTCAGAAGCAAATGCCTCTTCAGCTATGCAATGCCCAGAATCAGAAGTGGCAAGGGCTGCTTTCTTCATCAGCAAAGACTTCTCCAGATTCACAGGGTTGCTCCGGGGATTAGCTAGTGACAGCTCTGCTTTACTACCTTCTCCAACAGCCTTTGATCCTGAAATGCCCCTCTCTCATACAATGCAGTCCTCTTCCTCACTGCTTTCATCAGCTTCCTCCACTTCCCCTTCTCCTAGTGAGCTCCTCTCAAGGTCATTATCACTGTCAGCAAATGCTGGCAAGTATACTTCACTGTCTTCTTCCAACTCCTCAAGTTTCCCTCGTTTGATGCCCTTAGCAGTCACATACTGATCAGCCATCTCATCATTTTCCTCCTCTCCTTCTTCCTCATCACTAGAGCCATTTTCCAATCTGTCATCTGCAGACATTTCATCATCTTCTTCATCATCACTATCTCCAGATCCATCTTCATCTGCAAAAATGGCTTTCTGACGCATTCGATCAGTTTTCAGGTCCATTTGTTTGTCTTCCTTTGGCAACAACAGCCTATATTATTATTACCAAGAAAATGCAGAAGAATTCGATTTGTACGTTAATCAGCGAATCTAGAAATGACAATATAGTCAACGAAAACACAAAGAAATAGAAAATGTCAAAGAATTGTTTAGGATAACATAGCAGAGGTAAAAATTGATCTGATAAACATTGGAAGAGTTAATAGGCAAACTCAGGCATGGTTCCCTAATACCACACTTCAAAAGAACATATAAAGGGAATAAAGGAATAACCCTTTAAAAGAATAAGTAAATCTAATTTTAGAAAAATAATCGCTTGAAAAGGAAGTTAGTGTTTGGTAGATCTTTTGGAAAGCTCATCAATTTCTAAGCTAAAAAAAAACACATGATCCCTAAGAGAAATGGCTGATTCCAGGCCCAAAGCAGAAAGAGGACAAAATGAGCCTGGATCCTCTTGTTCTGTCAGAAAGTAAGAAATGCTCAAAGACTAACAGAGACGGTTGACAGGACATAGGAGACAGGCTGAAGGTTCCCGCTGCTGAATCTGGGACAACACAGGCATCAGAGAGAATAATCATAGTAATGGAGAATAACCCATGGAATAAAACACAAGTGCATTAGTCAGCGGTGATACCGAAATAAAGGGGAGAAGTGAAACCTGTTTGTTAAAAATGCCAGCTAATGAACGTAGGAGGAGTGACAGAGGAAGAACATCCATTGTAAGTCTTCAGGGCCATAACTGTTAAAGAAGAATCATCGGGGGGCTAAAATCACAGGATGAAAGACAACTGCATGAAACTGTTTAACATAGCACAATATATAAAATGATAAAAACATAAATTAGAAAAAACTAAAAATCATACCATAAGACATGGATGAGTTAGAATGCAGCAATAATAGGTGAGGCTAAACCAAGGATCTGGGGAGGCTAAGGCAGAAGGATTGCTTGGGCTCAAGAGTTCTAGACCAGATTGGGCCACACAGTGAGACCTTATCTCTAGAAAACAATGAAAAAATTTAGCCAGGAGTGGTGGAAAGGACACAGGAGACAGGCTGAAAGCTCCCACACTCCTGTAGTCCCAGCCACATGAAGGGACTGAAGCAGGAGGATTACTTGAGCCTTGGAGTTCAAGGCTGCAGTGAGCCAAGATCATGCCACTGCACTCCAGCCTGGGAAACAAAGTGAGACCTTGCCTCAAAAACAAACAAAAAGAATAGACCAATAATAACAAAATGATGACTACATAAAGACTGCATTGAAAAATGACATGCTCAGAATATAGAAATAAAATTATGTATTTAAACTGTAGCTATATTAGAAGGCAGTATTCTTGTAGACAAGGATAACTAGAAGGATATGCAAAAATGAAAACAGCTCATAACACTCATTATTTGTGTCTGTCAGGCACTGTGCTAGGTAGTTTACGCACCATGTAACAAATTACATACTAGATAATCTGAAAATTTTCGAATAAATTTTACTAGGAGTCATAAATCAATACAACAAAACCAATGTTTTGCAAACATCCACTATGTATAAAGGCATATAACTTCCCAACACAGACCGAAAAATAATTCACATCAGCCATACATCAGTGGAAACCTACCCACGGGAGATAATACAACGTAATCTAAATAAAACTTTCAGAGACACCACACATGGCTTCTGGACAGCCACAGACTCCCTCACACTGCTCTAGTGTTTTGGCCACCAAAATAATGCGAAGTGGCCTCAGGTCTCTTAAAAAACAAAAAGCAAACTATAGAAGATGGCGTGGTATTTGAGGAATATTTGAGGTCTGTTGAAAAATGCATCCTGTATTTTATTTCAAGAAAATACTCCCATGTAGTGTCAGGTAAGTGAAGAGCCCTCAAGACACATGTACACACAAAGAAAAACAAATCAACCTGGAATGAAGCCCAAAAAAATGTGTTCTGATGGCAGAATTACACATCTTCTGTAATATACCTTTTTATTAAAAATAGGAAAAAAAAAAAAAAAAGCAGACTTACCCTTGATTATCTATATCCTCTGACTCAAGTGGCTTGGAATCAGAAAACAGCATCACTCGACTTGAAGCCATCTTGGCATCAATGATGGAATGGATGGAGACGAGATTCTGGACCAGCTCATGGGTGGACCCCACCTCATCCTGTTAAGGATGAAAGAATGGGCACATGAGGAAAGCACAAAGACCCTGGAGAGACACTGGTTTCACTCAGTTTCTCAAAATTATCTTAGACACATTGCCTGAGAACCTTTCTTACTGCCTCAAAAAGCAAAGAAGAAAATCTTTACAACAAAGCTTGAAATAGATCCCCATCTCCATTAAACTTTTCCAAAGTTCAGGGAGTACATAACCTGATAATCTAAACACCTACCTAGGAAAACCTCAGTTCCAATGCTACAACAGTGCTAGCTTTTCTAACATTTTTAAGTAACCCTGATTTTATTTATTTATTTATTTATTTATTTATTTTTGAGACGGGAGTTTCGCTCTTGTTCCGCAGGCTGGAGTGCAATGGCGCGATCTCGGCTCACCGCAACCCCCGCCTCCTGGGTCCAGGCAATTCTCCTGCCTCAGCCTCCTGAGTAGCTGGGATTACAGGCACATGCCACCATGCCCAGCTGATTTTTGTATTTTTAGTAGAGACGGGGTTTCACCATGTTAACCAGGATGGTCTCGATCTCCTGACCTCGTGATCCACCCGCCTCGGCCTCCCAAAGTGCTGGGATTACAGGCGTGAGCCACCGCGCCCGGCCCTAGTAACCCTGATTTTAATCCAATACAATTCAACTTCAGAACTAAGAAATAAACATTTGAAACCCACTTTAAAATACAGAGGAGACTGCTGTGAACGAGAAAAAGAAAAAGACCAACGAGAACTGGAAAGCACACTGATTTTGTAGAAATGGGGATGGGCCATGCAGGCACCACGCTGGCAGCTGTGCTCGCTCTGGGCCTGTGGATCAAGGAGGCATGGAGGACAGGACTCTTCTGCTTGGTACAACGAAAAAAGAGTATTCTTTTAATTCTATATATTTACAATATGCAATTGGGCCTTTATTATAAGTACAAGAGAAAAGTCTTCAATAAATAAAAGCTGAGTACATTACTTTTTGTGATTAAAAAATAGATTCGGAAAGAAAAATGAGAGTTCAGAGCAATGACTCCTGTCTCCTCGATGCCTGAAAACTGTGGCTGCCACCAAGGTCAACATAGACAGCATCTTTGTCACATAGCACACCCCCAACTTCAGAAAGAGGCGCATAAACCAGCTTCTCCTTCCACATATTGTGTGTGCCTCTGTGTACTCAGGAGGCTTTGACAACCCAGAGCAGAGCAATCAACATAAGCTAGGCTAAATAAATTATGGTGCATCCAGGGAGTGGATTAAAAAGGGGGCAGAACTGCAGTACTTACTGATTATATACCTCCAAGATATATTACAAGAAAAAAGCAAAGCACAGAGCAGTGTAAAAGAAGCTACCATTTGTGTTTCTAAAGAGTGATATGTGTGTTTATATGCATCTGGAAGGATTAAGAGACCAGCAGTTAGAGCAGGGAAAAAGAAGATGCACAGTCTGTGTACCCTGCATTACAGTTAAAGTACTTAACCAAATGTGTGTGTTCCTTTT